AAAGGTAGGAACTGTTTCTTTTAGAGTTTACAAATGCCGGTACTGCAAGGCACAAGCTTTTTTTCAGAACCTTTGTACATAAGGAGGTTAGAGAAGTGAATCTTCTTAGTATGAAAAATAAAATACAGTTAGCAGAAACTGTGGGAAGATAGTCTTTAGCTACAGAACATACATACAGAAAGAAAATAATGTCAGGTAAAGAAAAGAAGGAAGATTAAGCAAAATATAAATGTATGAAATAAATATAAACAAGAATTTGCAAGAGACATGGCAGTAAGGCTAGAAATACAGTCAAAACAATAACTTTGAAATGTCAACATTAAGACTGTTGGAAACAACATGCACTGTTATTATACATTCAACACAACAATAAATACAGCATTTAATACAATTGTAATATGGAATTACTCCTATTTATTTTGCTCTTCTGATACTGAATATGGTAAATTCAATTATATTCCTAAAGCATGTTATGAATTCCTGGGACACATTCTGACAGGTTTTCCTTGAGGCAGTCATCTTAAATATATTTATCAATAACATCTCTCCTGCCAATGAGAAAAGGCTATATCTCTGGAAGAAAAAAATCAAAAAGTATCTTCCAGCTTCTCTGACATGGAAGAGTAGGAGTTATGTGATTAAGATGTTCTTATAGAGGACAAATTTTCCTGCATAGGATAACCAGAAGAGAAGAGGGCTCCTAAGTAGGCAGATAATCTGATGATAAATGATAAATACTCTTACACGAGTGTGCTGATCTTTTACAGCCCAGCAGCATATAAGCTATGTAAGACAAATCTCCAGTTAGGATGAGGAACTACTAGGACAGAAATGGCAATGTAAAATACACAGCTGATAAAGAAAGACCAAATAGCACTAATAAATAATTCTTTCTGAATGTATCACTACTCAGAAAGAAAGCTCATAAGTTAGACTGCAGGTAGGATCTAGGCTTTTTAAATCTAAGTGTGTCTTGCCTGAGACAAATCCTTGCCTAAACCTTTCATGTATGAATATCCTGAGGATATTTCATGACTGATTTTATCTCATTATTTAGAGCTTGTACAACTAGAAGCATACCTTTGCAATATCCAGAATGGGAATCAATTTGTCCAAAAAAACATGCTTAAATCTGACCGGACATTATGGACCAGAAAGTTTCTAAAGGCTGAAAGTTTGTCTTTTCCTGACTTTGACTGTTATGGGATGACCAAGATTGAAGTTTCTGCTTCAAAGATTATTACTGGGTTTAGCCATAGGCAGCTGAATGTAAGACTGCAAAAACTGTCCTGGAGGCAGGAAAAGAAGGTAAATTATCCAATAGGCCTGGGAGCCAGACATCAGCAGTTTGACAGTCAAAAGCCATCTGGACATGGCCTTGGGCTCCCAGCTCTGGGTGTCTCTGCTTGAGTAGGGGTTGCACCAGGTGTACCCAGAGGTCCTTGTCAACCTCAGCCATTCCATGGTTCTATGTGAGTACAGTTCCAACAGTAGAGTGTATCACTACCAGAAAGCAGGCAACCATACTGTGGCTATGATTGTCTTTTATTTTAAGAAGTAGGCAAAGTTTGAGGGAGACATATGATGCAGTTTTCCACAACTGTATTCGATATGTAAAAGGCTCCATGCTGGAAGTATGCAAGAAACAGATAAGCTCCCCTCTTCACAGTATTACTCTTTGAAACATGTACCTGGGTCACCACTCACCTGTACACACTCCACTCTGGAACATCTAGTTCACAGGGGCAGGGTGTTTGGGGTTGTACTTTGGAGTAGGCTACCCTACACCTAAACATCTTGTCTGAAGCATTAAGAGTGGAACTTAAAATCTCTAATATATTATTTCATATCTGGTTATCACCAGAAAAAAAGAATGGAAAAGAAAAAAAAAAAAAAGACTGAAATATTCTACTGGAATGAATTACTGTTTTCTAAATTACCTCTCTTTTTTTTTAATGAAGCATGTAATAAGAGTTATAACAAATTCTCAACAGTATGTTTCTTACTACTGCAAAATGTAAAGAAGAAAAAACGCAAAGAAATATCCATGTATAAAATGAACGTTAAATACACCTTCATTCTCCATTTTAAGTACAAGCATGTTTCTAAAAACTTGTAAGAGACAAGGTATTCATGCTTGTTTATGCAGTAGCTCAAAATTATTTCTGAATGACTGTAACAGATACCAGAAGTAACATCAGGAATTAATTTGCCTTAATGAATTAAACTGACAATACAAAATCCTAACTATCATTTTATACATCACTGGAATGTCCTCTTCTCCCAGGCAACAAACAGGACCCAAGGAAATGGCCACCAGTTGCAAAGGATTTCCTCCTTTGAGGACATTTAGGTTAGACATGAGGAAGAACTTTTTCTCTCAGAGAGTGGTCAGGCACTGGAATGGCTGCACAGGGAGGTGGTGGAGTCGCCGTCCCTGGCAGTGTTCAAGAGGCATCTGGATGAGGAGCTATAAGATATGGTTTAGTGGCTTATGGTAGCAATAGTAATGGGAGGACGGTTGGACTAGATGATCTTGAAGGTCATTTCCAACCTTGTGATTCTATGATAATTTGTATAACAGTTACCACATAAAGCACTTCCAAAGAAAAAGCAAACAGTACATCCTTTTCATTACTGTTATTTGCTTAAATCTGCAGCTCCTATGCCTACAGATTTAACAAAATTGCAGTGCACTATTACTAAAGCTACAGAACTGGAATGGCGGATATTTCCTGTATATACAATTTAATTATTAAACAATCATATTTTTAATGAAATGTTATTCTGTAGCCACCTTCAGTGAATTTTGCTTATGCTAATGGATCTGCTATTCTGCCATTAGCAAGATCATGTTTGAAATAAAATGGTATAAATGCATTTTAATCTACTCTTGGGAAAAAAACAGACTTAAGAAAGGTTACTCTCTGACTACTTAGGTGGATTAGTTCCTTATGTCAAATCATTATGTAGAAATAAAAGCTGTGGTCAGCCTACTTACAATTCCATTTGACTCCTCCTGGGAAAAGTGTTTCTATTAGTTTTCACAGTCTGAATGATCTTCTGAGCATTTACTAGAAGACTGAAAACTAACAATTTTTGAAGAAGAGGACAGCATTCTCAGATTCAAGAAAATAAGTAAAAGATTGGTTGTTTGAGGATCATGACCTCTATTTTTTTACACTGTTATTCTGACTGCAGTATAGGAGTTCATTAAGAAAAAATTGATGATAGATAAGAACTTAACAATGCTTACCATATTTTCAGTGATCTCTCCTTTTATTTCCAATGATTCTTGCAGAAAATAGAATTTGTTTTCTTTATATGGTGTCTAGACTATTACTTGTTGAGTTGAATTTCTCATCAAGAAGTGGGCAAGAGAAAAGTCAAGTCTAGACAGGGAATTAAAGGGAGCTTCACCATGAAAAGGTGAGCAATCTCTCCAACTGAAGCTGCTGTTAATGGAAGTACCAGGAAAGGGGTTAGACGTACAAAGGGCTTCTCTAGTGACTTAGTTCCAAGGCATATGAAGGCAATAATAGCCAGCTTTCTTGAGTTTTGCCTTCTTACTATAGCATACTTTACCCTATTTTGGTCAGAGATAATGGTGACGTAACAATAAAAATGTACCTTAAATATGTTAGTGTTGAATGCATGCAGTACAAAAATGTGGGGTGAATAAATCTTTTTTTTTTTTTTTTCATTTTTAATGTTGCCTGTTGCCTGAAAATTAATATGATTGAGGCTCTACACCACAAGAATTTAAAACAGCTGAGTTAGTTTTAGTACTGTATAACCTTATGATCATAAGGCTATTTAGTAAATGCTGTGTGATTCAAAGCAACTTGCTGCACATTATTCTGGAGTTAGAGGCTGTAGGATCAAAACAGTGAACACAGCATTCATAGAGAGAAGCCTGGCATTAAATGCAGCTTTGGAAATATTTGAAGGAAACTAGCAAGTGCAAAGGTACAAATGACATCAATGGTAGGTGCATTTGAGAAAATTCTTCAGGACGCCCCCCTTATAATCTCTTAGTGAAGCCAAATTGTCACAGGACAAGTAAGAAGGATCTCCTGAATCCTATTAAGGATTATAAAACATGGAATAGGAATACATGGACAGTGTTTGCTAAGTAGCAAGGTTCCTTAGGACCCTATAAAGAGTGTAAAGATATTCTGGTGATCTGGAAGGCATTGTAGAATTTTTCAGAATGACCAAAAGATGAAGATAATTGTTGGGGTTCTCACAAGATTTGGTGACACAGTAATGCAATGGCAGATAAAATTTAACACTGATAAATGCTAAGTGGGCACACAGGGGAAACATAACCCTAAGTGCCCTTACACAACAATTAATGTTATTTATACTACCATCACTCAGAAAAGGGTTTGTGGTGGAGTGGCAAAAATTCCCTGGAGTCTTAGCTCAGTGGCATTCCAAAAACCAAATATCATTATGAACATTCAGAAGAACGAAGAAAAAAAAAAAAAGAACAACTAACAAAAAGTACTGCGTGAATCTACTGTGACTTCTGCACCTAGGTCTTGTCATCCTATTTCAAAAGGAAGATAGGAATGATGCAGAGCAGCAGAATGAGGGTGTTCATGACAGAAAAAGGAAGGCTTCCCATAGGAATGAGCTGCTCAGGGAGACGGTGGAGTCTCTGTCTCTGGAAGTGTTTAAGAAAAGAATAGAGGTGGCATGGAGTAACATGAGTTAGCGGGCATGGTGGTGATGGGTTGAGTGTTGGTCTTCATGATCTCAGTGGTCTTTTCCAATGTTAATGATTCTATGATTCCTTAAGATGTCTCATCAGCAAGCAGAGTTGGAAAAGGTTTTGAATTATGAACGCTATCAGGGCTAAAAATGGGAAACAATTCTATTTCTCAAAAAAACAATGTTAAGAAATACTAAGTGAAATTAGTGATAAAAGAAAGCTGCTGTTTTTTTTTTTTTTTTTTTCCCCACAAATACATAATGAAATTATGGCACTTAGTGCCACAGGGCATTGTGGAGCAAACAATACAAAAAGGTCTGCCAAAAGGAATGAGTGAAGTAATGGAGAACTGCAAACTGATGGCTATTAAACAGGCTGAGCTGGATGCAACGCCTGGTTCAGGAAGCTTGTTAGCTGTTGTATACTGTAAACACAATACATAGGCAAAAAGCAACCCCACATGCTTCCTATTGTTTTCCAACCATCTGCCCAGCCGCTGCCTTGAGCTGGGACTGCAGGGCTGACCTTTGGCTTAGCTGTCCTTACCACAGTGAGTAAAACATCAGCTCCTCTGAGCTACAGTGATTCCATTAAACACTCAGGATGATTCCGTTAATGTTGCTTTAGTAATTAACCCTTTGGAATATTTTGCAATGCTTCTTTTTACTCTTTTCACAAGCTGGTCTAGATTTACTGGTAAAACAAATGCCTCTCAGGAGGACCAAGCAGAGGTTGAGACGTCAACGGCAGAAAGATGTGGCAGCTCGGATCAGCTCAGCCTGGTGGGACCGAGGGCTGCTGACCGACGGCCACGGCCCTCCTCACCCAGCCATGCTGAGGAGATTTTCTCCTCGTAAGATCGCACCATGTGCCCAGGAAGGCTCTCACTCGGCTGCTGAACTTTCTGGCACCCCTTCTTTCTGCACATCGCTGCAGGTTTTGCATTGACAGCCACGCTGACACCCCAAGGCAGACCCTTAGGGCCGCCTCGCCGACAGAAGTTGAGGGAGATGAAACGAAAAGCCGCGACCCCTCTGCCCCATCCCACACCAGCCCTAGCGGAGGCAGCACCTCCGCGCAGCGCTGCCCGCAGCTCCACCGCCCCGCCGGCAGCTGCCCGCCCCGCTGTGGGAGCGGCACTCCTCCCGGGGCAGCGGCCGGAGCTCCCGCCTGCTTTCCCCGCCTCCTCTACCGCTGCCTTCGAGCCGTCCCTCAGTCGATCTCTCGCCTCGCAGGTATCCGGAGCGGGCGGGGCTGGCGCTGCTCGGAGCCGGGCGGGCGGGCGTCATGAAGCGCTCTCTATGGCGGCTGTGCCAGTCGCGGGAGAAGGCGGCCGCGTCCAGCGCCTACCAGGGCGTCGTCTGCGAGGCCGATGCCGCTTCCGTCGCCTCGCAGGATGTCTTCAAGGTGCGTGGGGACGGCGGTCCCTTGGGGAGGTGTGGAGAACGAGGGAGAAAAGCTGGCGCTCGGGGCTGGGCTGCGTGCGGGACTCGGGCAAGATGGGCTGGCGGTGCTGGAGGGAGAGGGCTGTGAGGTGGTCAGGTGGGGCTCTGGGCAGCTGTGGGGGGCTGCTGATGCTTACGTTCCTAACAAACATTCCTCCAAGAGATCCTTTTAGTGGTCCTGTTGAGGGCTGCACTCTCCCCTCGCTCATCTGAAGAGCTGTGCTGTGTTGACTGGAGGTTGATGCGGCAATAAGTAGACTGTCTGCCTTGTGAAAGTGTCCCAAAAAGAAAGTTGAGATGAACTCGTATAAAGGGAAAGGGAAACATCACAGCCCTCAAACATTGCTGCTGGGCAGGATGCAGCCAGTGCCCGCCTACAGAACCAGCAGTGATGTACTCCTGTGCTGTGAGGGAGAGCTAGGCTGAACATCTTTTGATAGTATGTATAACTAAGCCAATGAAGAGGTTGGTTATGGTACAAATGATAACCCATTGATAAAAATCTCCAAAGTTCCCTAAGCACGTACACCAAAGAGCATAGAAGGGTTTCATGACCTCAAGAGATCGTTTTCAACCATATTTTGTGTGCTGGCTGTTGTCTGGGACAGCTGGACCTCTACATGAGGTGGGATGGCACTGATCTGAGGGTCATCTGTCCCTCTGGAGCTGGCCACGAGGAGCAGAAAGAGCTGCTGTTGGGTGAAAGCCTTGCTCTGCTTTTTTGTTTGGTTGTTTTTTTAACTAGATGGAGAATCTAACTTTCTTCTTTCTTTCTTATATTGTTAACGAAGCTCTGCAGTCTTACTTTTGGTGTTAGAAATTCTTGATGTGCAGTATTTCAGCCCTATTTTGTCTTACACTCATAAGAAGTCCCAATTTAAAGAGCCATGAAATGTGATCTAAATTAGGGGAAAGATTGAAAATTCATTATGACTAAAATTGCATTATAAAGTAAGGAGGATTACAAGATTGGTCGCCTGTATATATGGCTCTATAAAAAAGTTTTCTTAAATAGATTTTTAGAGGGTATAATGTGTAGATATTTGTGTATGTAATTGACCTCTGATTTTTATGACTGTTGAGTCATTCTAAACAATTGTTTCATATTGGTATCACCTGCTTTCTATTAGCTTTTTCTAATTGCACTTTTGAAGCAGATGCTACCCCTACATTTGGCCCCAGTCTCCTATATCTTTAAAAACATTTGTAGCATTATTTGCATGAGTAACCCTAATGAGGTCAATGGGACTATTAAGTTGAAGGAAGTTAAACATGTGCTTAAGTATTTGAATGAGCAGCCCTATAAGGTATATTCAATCAAAGACAGCAAAAAATTATTCAGTCATTGTGGCTCCAGGGATCCTGTAGAAGAAGTTTTACTTTGTTTCTGGGTTGGTTTTTTTTTGTTTGTTTGTTTTGGGTTTTTTTTGGAGGGGAGGGAGGAGGGGCTTGCAGTCAAGGGGAGAACAGTCATTCTTTATTTTCTTGGTTTGCTTGCTCACTCTTTTTGAGGCGGGTTGCATTTATTTTTCTCTTTTTTCTCCCATTTCTTAAAATTCCCTTTTAATTTTTTTTAATAACTTGTAATATTTTTTTTTACTATTGCTTTTCCTTATATGCAAGTATAGTTTTTGAAACAATCTTAACTTTCTTGAGTGAGAATCAGCAGGTTTTGCATAGTGGGCTTTGGGTGCAAAGTGTAGCACAAATGGTGTGTAAAGGTGCTAGACAGCTGAGCTGTCAGAGGGTTTTTGTTGTAATCCAGAGTGAAGACACTGGATTGTTTCAGTCTGAGGATGCTTCTAGGGTAGTGCTGTAAACTGAAGATTTTGTTGATTGCTCTGATGTACAAAAAAGCATGGAAACCCAAGGGCTAAGCTTGAAAGCCCAGCACATAAAGTCAGAAATGTCCTGAGAAGAAGATTATTATTTTTTCCTCTCTCTTAAATTCACTTATTTGGCCACAGCTGCAGAGAGGTGTAGGAGGAAGTGATGATTTTTTTTGTTGTTGTTGTTAGTTTTCCTATGGTAGAAGGATCATTTTCACTGCAGAAGATGAAATAAGGTATTCTAAATTACTTACGTTTTTGTTAATATTTGTTCTGTTTTTCGTCTGGGTCTGATTTGCTATCAGTTAAGTCAATCTGAGTTTTTCAGATTACTTGATCTGATCAGGATTTGTGTATTTCTGTATGAAAATAATTGAGAAAACTTATGTCCAAAATAGGTGATTTCAGATGGAAGTGCCTGTAGGCTGCGAAGCTTCATTAAGAAGAACCGTTCTGGACTCACCAAAGTGGATGAATTAAATGCAACCCCACTGCATCATGCTGCTGAAGGAGGCCAAATAGAATTAATGCAGTTGATTATAGAAGATTCTTCCTCTGAAGGTAATGCACATCTTAAAATTATTTTATTCAATGCAATTTAAACATTCAAAGTGTTCGCTATCCAGCTGAAGCTGACTTGGTATGTGTTATGTTTCTACATCAAAAAGGGTTCAAGCTGTCACATTTCATGATATATTGGATATGATTTGGGTCACCTTTATTGTCTTGTTAGTATTTGATTTCTATTGCGGTGATTTGATGCGTCTTACTTTGTTTGGGACTCAGATTTACAGTCTTCGGATGTGGAAAAACTGTTATGCACCTACAGTAAGCCTGAGGATCTTTATATTTTTTTGTCTTCCTTTTTACATCTAAAACACTGGAAACTGTGAAGTAATTTTGTTTCTCATACTTGTCGTTGAAGTTGTTAATACTTTCAAGTCAATTTAACACATGGTTGAATATTTTCTGATTGCACGTAAGTGATTTAGACCTGTTTTAGTGGAATTCTTATATCTTTTAATAAAGCAGTCATCTTAGATTGCAGTTACACTGGTTAAACTGCAGACACAGGGATGTTACTAGCCTTGAGGAACCACAAATGCAGAAGTAAGGCTAAGTGCACAGGTACCCTGGAGGAGGTACTAGTTTGTTCCATTGTTGTAATTTCACTCTTGTTTATTTAACAGTGGAGAAAGAAAACCATTTAATGAGCTAGGTCATCTGAAGAAATGTGGGGAAGAAGTGAGAAGTGGAAGATCACAGGGCCTTGAACGGTGGAAAAGAAAAAATGCTTTCTGTGAAATGATGTTGTTTAACAGTCATTAGTCAGCATTATGGAACTGCCTAGAACTTCCACTGGTAGGCTGAGGGCTACTGAGCAAACCAAATATGCAGAAAAGTTTTTTATTTTTCTCTAAATGATGACCAATATAATTTTAGATTATTTGGTCTGAAAAAACATTCTTCTTTTCAGTATATAATTTTTTGTCATAGAGTATATTTTTTAAAGTTTGTTTCCAGATGAAATCAATATATAAAAAAAGACCAGTTTTATAATTGACATGAACTGTTTTACATCTCAGTAGATACTTGAATCATCTCCTAAATTTACAGGCAGTTTTTTCTTATCTCATATTTTAATTATTTGTACTCACTTGTTCTGTGTGGCCTCTGAAGTGGTGGCTGCAATATCAAAGAAAATAGGAAAGAGAAGAGGCAAAGAAAGAGGTAAACCAAGAACTCTGGATGTAAAGAAGATGGCATATGATACTGGGCAAAAAATAGGTGTTTCTTTCTTCCCATCCTTCTGCTATTATAATTAAGAAGATCTAATAAAAAAATGTATTGCTGTTTTCCTAATGTTATTAAGCTTTGTGCTATTTAGTACACTAATATTTTTAATAGAACATTTTCTCTCACCGATGCACTATTTTCAGCACAGTGTTTAATTTAACCTATCGCATTATGTGAAATGTCATCTTTCTCTTTTCTTTAAAAAAGTGTGCTAGCACTTATCTAAACCTTTGCTGAGAACACTTTTATTTCCACAGCGTGATTGTAGCATTTGATGATTTTGCTGTCTTTTGTTTTGTTTGCTCTCCTTTGATCTAGTATTAAATGTGATGGATTCTTCTGGAAATACCCCACTGCACTGGGCTACAAGGAAAAACCAGGTTGAAAGTGTTAGTTTACTTCTCAGTAGAGGAGCCAACCCAAACATTCTCAACTCCAATATGATGGCACCTTTGCATATGGCTATACAGTCCCTGCATAATGAAATCGTCAAGGTAAGGTTAAAGTCCACATAAATATACAGACTTGATAAGAAGCTCAGCAGCACCTGTGTGTAGAACACTAAGACCTTGTTTATATATGCTGTATCCTGGACGTAGCTCCTCATATGCTTTGTTTGGCAAACATATGTAACATATAATGCTTGTAAAAAGGTTTGGGTCTTCTCAGGACAGTGAATTAAAAAAAATGTACTTATTTTTCATGATACTCATATTTGTGTTACTGCAATAGTTTCACAGAGAAGTCTTAAATTTTTCTGAACACAACTTTTTCAAAAGTTCTTTTAAACTTTTTTTTTTCTTTTTTGGTCATTTTACCATGTGTAGTGAGAATGGTTTCATTCCGTATGTGGTATTTGAATAAGAGCATAGAATTTGTAAAGTTATTTAATTTACTAGATGAATGCAGTTGTAACACACAAAACTTTTAGGACGCTCTGGAGTTATTTGCAGCATTTATCTTGGCTAGTCAGCTGTCTACCGTAAACAATTTTGTCTGTTTTCACCAGTATTTTTCACCTGCATATTTTTGCATTCGTTCTCATTTTTAATTTCTTCTGCTTTTGCATTTTTAGCTGTTTCCATGCAAAAAGAACAAGCCACAAGTAAACAACTAAAGTAATGGAATAGACCTTTGTTAGGTTTTGCTAATAGTTGACTGCATGTTTTCTTAAATGTCTAGATTTTGGTCCAGCATAGCAGTACAGATGTTAATTTGGAAGGTGAAGCAGGAAACACACCTATAATGGTAGCATGTTATAAGGACAATCCTGAAGCACTAACACTCCTGGTATGTATAATTATCACACTTTTAGTTGTGATTCAGTTTGTCTTGATACAGTGTCACTCTAATCCGTTGTTCTTTGTATGAAGGAGAGAAGGGAGATAATGGAGTCAACACTCAGGTTATTTTGCATAAAGGCATGCATATGCGTGCTTTTTTAATAGGACAGCCTCATGCATTCTTATCCATTCAATAAAGGCACTATCAGCTGGTAAAAAAAAAAAAAAAATTGGAATTCAGAATTTAAAAAGAATGTGGTTTTTTTTTTCTGAGATGCCAAGTGTTTTATCTATCCCTATGTCATTATTTCCTCACTGATGCGCTTTTGGAGCATGAATAAAACTGTTCATGAAATACTTGGGAGCTCCTTGAAAAGACAGTGGGAGTAACTCTTAAGTATGTTCTGCAATCCCTGAGCTATATATGCTTTGGAAAAAATGAGATGTCATATTTTGTAGTTTAGATAACTAGAAAAAATGTTAGGCCTACTTAACTTCCTTTACTTCTTTATGGGACATATGTGAAAAAGTATTACCTGTTTTGTGGGAGGAAAAAGAAAAAAGATGATGTTTGTGATTCAATGTATTACTGGTAAGGCTACAAATGAATTTTTAAGATCACTCAGATACACTTATGTGTGTAAAACAGGAAAAAGATATCTTGAAGATAAAAAGGAAAACTAAACAAAAAGAAGCACATCCATGCATACATGCATGGAGGTAAGATATAAAATATGGCTGTATATTAATTTCATAATGCGTATGCAATGCAAAAAAGGAGACAGCTACAGCAAAGGCTGTATCTGCAGCAATATGTTCATTTTTGAGAATTTTCTTTATGTCATTAAACTGTATCTAGGTATTAATTTTCAGATTGAAAATGGAGGGAAAATATGTAAACCAAACAAAACGGGATGCATGCCTATCCATGCTGCTGCATTTTCAGGCGCAAAAAAATGTATGGAAATCCTTTTAAAAAAAGGTAAATACTTTTGTTCCAAAGTGACCAGTATGATTCATTATTTATAGTAATTTTCTGCTTTACATTTCAAAGAACTGTGAACAAGAACTGAAAATGTGATTGAACTTAAAGCAACTTAATGCTATTATTCCCATGGGCAGTACATGCTAGTAACTTCTGTAGAAGTGCTTCTGTGTTCCGAAACCTGTGACCATCTGTTGTTTAATGGAAGGTTTGAAAGGGTTCATATTCTGAGTGGGAGAATATTGTCTCACACTTGCTTGTCATAAAAAAAAAAATAATAAAAATGATTGCTTCTGTTATTCCATCTGTGCTGCAAAAATTGAAATTTATTTTCATCTCTCAGGTGAAGAATTGGGTCACGCAGCTAAAACTCACATTAATTTTACCAATAATGGGAAGTGCAGTCCACTTCATTTGGCAGTTCAAAGCGGAGACTTGGAAATGATAAAAATGTGCATTGAATTTGGAGCCCAAATTGATCTAAAACAGGTAAGCATTGCAGTAGAGTGGAATATACTTCTGATAGAAGTTAGATGTCTCTGAAACTCAGAATAGTATGATTTAAAGAGTAACATAATTGTAGCCTGTTGTATTTTCCAGTATAATGCCTAGGGAGCTGCCTGGGGAGCAGCAAGTGAGAAAAGGTCTCTAGTTCAAAGCAGATAAAATGGCTAGTTTCTTTACATAAGTTACATAGGATAATGGGAAAACTTTACGTGAATTCAAAATGCATTTGAACAGATCCATAGAAGAAAAGATCTGCTCATAACTACTGAATGCATTCTCTCATTCTACATTCTGTCTGACTCAGGAAGTCCCTGAGTCATAAATAGATGGAATCTGGGAGAGCACTCTTGAGAACTGTCACAGTGACACAGCCATCTTCACAAATTCTTTACCTTCTGTCATCCCTTGCCAGATACTGAGTCTCTGATTTGATCCATTCTCATTGGTTTTTGTTTATTCTCAGCCTTGCCCTGGCCTTTATAGTTTTGTGCTCGCATACTTAGACAAATTTGTAATATTACTGTTGCACTGTGATACTATTGGTGTAAAGACCCGCTCCAAGCTTCATGTTGAGTAGATAGTTCTGAAAACGTGACATTACTCAAATTATTTGCAAGGCTGAAATTGACTCATGAGGGTGGAGATACCACAGTATAACCGTCATGTATTTGTTTCTTTGAACACACAACTTTTGAGTGACATGGTTCATGCTGACCATTTTGCAATAGGTGAGAACCATTTTAAAAGTGTTAATGGACTTGTGAAAAAGCCCATTCCAATGTAGTGGCTGAAATTTCCAGTTCTGAAAAGCACAAAGACAAGATCCTCAGGCATGTACCAAAGCTAGTTTGTCCTATTTAACTAAAAGAAATCATGTTTTGGCAAATCTCATTCCAATCATTTACTTAACGTTTAATAATTTTTATGACTGTTCAGATTATAATAGTTTAATAGCTTACTAGCCCCAGTCGTTTTTAATGAACCCTACAGAAGATTGCATTTATGAAACTCTTCCAAGGAATATAAGGAAGTCAAGATCATAAAGAACAATGCATTTTCTTTATTACACATTACAGAGGTAGTTTTGTTTGTTATTCATTTGTACTGATTTGCCTATTGCTTTTCTGTGGTTTTCCTTTGCTTCATCTTTTCCATTTAAGGATGCTGTGCATATTTCTTGATTAATCAGATACAAAACATTGTTGAGGTTCAGGATCACATATCCTAGAGGCTTGGCATAGGATAGTAACAAGCTTTGTAGTAATCCTTTAAACTATCTCTTTACTTTTTTTTTTTTTGGTCTTATGTATATCTTTAGAGTTCTGCTATTTTAGTTAAAGACTGAAGTTTTATCATGCATCTCCTAAATTCCTATGCATGAATCCTGGGCTAGATTGCTAGCATATTTAGTTGGTTGTAGACTAAGCTGACTTGGAACGTTACTTTATTTTCCTATTTACAGAATGAAAAATGCACAGCACTTCATTTTGCTGCCACTCAAGGAGCAACTGAAATTGTAAAGTTAATGATGTCATCCTATGCTGGTGACGAATCCATTATTGATGCTGTAGATGGGAATAAGGAAACATTGCTTCACAGGTAGGAGGCTGTTCTACTAGACTTCAGTGGCACAATTTTTTGGTTAGTCTTTTACAGCATCCAATGACAATTTATAAAGTATACTTGGATACGCCCTTCCACATGTATTGGAACTTCTCCATGGGATGGGAGGTGGTTATTATACAGTATGAAAGTGTCTGCAGTTTGATTAGGATGTTGAAGACTTTGGTCCTGATAGCAAAATTAAAACAAAAACGTCTGGTTACCTTGGAATCATGACCAAGAATGGCCACTAACTGTTTGTACTGAAAATTCACTCTAGTAAAGAATAAGAAATTGATAAATGTACTGCTTCCAAAGTTGTGCAACAAACGTCCTCATCTAGTGAAGCTTATGTTCTCCAGAAAGTAAGTGAAAAAGAATATAAACTGTTTAAAAAGAAATAAAAAAAAAAACACCAAAAACTTAAATTCTTTTCTTTCTCCCCAAAAATGTCTTATACTTGTTCAGGTTCAAGTAGACTATTGATGTAGTTGCACTCTGTTTAAGGAAATCATCATAATTTTAGTGTTTTTCTACATGGAGTTTATTGACATTAAGGATGAGAAATTTGGAAGCATAGAATCACGGAATTACATAACAGATAGTGGAAGCATATCTACTTATTTGAAATCATGAAAAAGCTTTTCAAATATGTCTTTTAATAATCAATTCTAACTGTAGTATGTTCTGTGTTATTATTTCCTTTAATATTAAGGGAACTGTTATCTTTGAGTCATACTACAGCACTGGAACTATCCTTCTCTGTTGCTCATTAGGTGTAAATACTTAATAGAGATCTGACTTCAGGAATGTGTGAATTAACTGTGCTATATTTCCCTCTTTAATCTTTCTTTTAAAAAACAACAACAACACATAATTCAGTATCTTGTTGTAGAATAAAACCTGAGATTTTTTCATGCATTCAATCAGCTTAAAATATTTTTTTTTGTAAATTAATGAATGCTACCACCATTTACATCAGGTGGTATATTACGATTTTTCTTATATTTCTCAAGTAGATTTATCTGCTACAGTTAGAATGGAGTTTTAGCTGAGTCTTTACTACTTTAACTCTTGTTCTTGTATTCTTAAACTATCAGTGAAATAGATATGATGCTCAAGTTCTGGATGGAATGATTCAAGTCTGAAGTTTATGGAATTCTTTAGTGAATATGTGTGGTACAGACAAAAATCTGACTGGTTTGATTAAAAATCAGTGTATTGGTTGAACTGAACTTAGTTTAAAAATGAAACTCTGTGACAAAAATGAAGGTAATTTATTAAAATGAATTATGCAGCACAGGTATTTCTTTGTGTCTGTCTGTCTCTCTCTATTTAAAAATACTACCAAATAGAGAAAAATGTAGCCTTTAGTTTGAAAATTTGTTGTCTAATATTACTGTAACTTTGCATTTTTTTCTTCACAGAACGGCCTTGTTTGATCATTATGAACTGGCAGAGTATTTGATTTCAATGGTAAATATTTAATTACATAATATGTTTATATGGATTATTGCAATCTATTACTATAGGTCTGCATAGAGAAATTCATAAAGGAGAATGTTTTCTCAGGCATACATTATTTATTTGTATATATATTTCATAATACGTAAGTGACAGCTACAGTGCAGCACAGTTAAAGCTCCATAATAGCATCTGAAAGTTACAGAGGATGAAAGGTTGCATTTTTATTTCCACTTTACTTGCTCAGAAAATTTTCATTAATTTTTCTTAGCAGATATGACAGACTAGTTCAGGCACCCTCACTTTTGTGGTTCTAAATATGAAATAAATCTTGATTTGCATTGAATTTAATCTGCTTTCTCAAGAAATCCTTTGTCTAATGTACATACATATAATTGTGGTGGGATCACAAAACCAGATAATGAAGTTTATGGATGATCCAGAAATATGTCTTACTCTGAGTATTCTGGTTATATTTCTGCACTAAGTAATTATGGGGAGAAAAGGAAAAGAATTGGGATGCTTCTGGCCATGCTCCAAGTGTCCATTAACACCAATTAAACTAAGGCTCATGTAACCACTATAGGCATTGCTGTGTTTGTTGAGGAAACTTTCAGAAGTCAGCAGACTTTTTCCATTTTAAGTCAGCTAATAATTTATTTTTCTTAATTTCTCGAGAATTACATTAAAAACAATTCTATGCAGAGTTTTGCACTTTCCAAGATTCTCTTGCAGGGATTTGGCTTAGTCAAAAATAGATGTGGTGCTTATTTTTATTCCAGATGTGAAATGGTGAGATTTGACTGCTTAAGCTTGGCTGACAAAACAACCTGTCTACAGAAGTTATTACTTGACTGCTTGTGCCTGTATTTCTTGCTTGTGTTGGTTTTTGTGACTAAGTATAAAAGGGGAATGTCTTTCCCATATAAGAACACATTTTTTTTTTCTTGAGAACAAAGTTAAATGCTTTGAGTGTCACTTTGACTATTTTGGCCTCTTTACTTATAGTCCATGATGAGGATTTTGAGGCTTTAGGGCTGTTTACGTTTGCCCTGTCTGGGAATGGATCAAAATATGTCAGTCAGTGTTAATGTGGTGCAGCACATGCAACTTCTGCTTCCTGGGCTCCTGGCAAGATAACCAGGTACCTCTTATGCTGTATATGTGTGAGGGGGGAAAAAGAAAAGAGAGAGTGATTTTTTTACTGCTCAGAAGGGATAGCAAAATGCAGTTCAAAATGGCTTCTGGCTTTGCTACAGAATACAATGTATTGACTGATTTTATCTTATTTCTGGTATTTTTTATGTTTTAGAATAAAAATCATTGTAAACATACACAGTGTTACATGTAGCTCTTCTGGATAAAAAACGTGAGATTATCTACACTGAAGATACTCTTGTCCAGGCATGCATTGTATGCTCTTTTCATTTAAGTCACACCAATTCTATTTTGTAAGTTGTAGGTCAGTATGCTGTACAAAGATCAGAGAATCCAACTGTATAGGTATTTCTTATGCTTTCACTATTTTGCATTGGGCTTCAGCATAGCATGGCAATAAGTAAATAGCAGTGTTTCACTGAGGTAATTTGAAATAACTGAAGGCTAACTGAAGCCTTAAAGAAAGGAAAAGGCAGAAGCCTATGTTAGCATTCCTAACATTTAAATATTACAAAACTTTATTGCTTTCAGAAAAAAAGTGTACAGATTGATTTGCAGCGTAAGCATTTTAATCACAGTGGCTTCATTAGTACTGTCAAAATGGTCATTTTCACATTTAGCATCTAGGTGCACAGTGTCTGGTTTGTGCATGCACATACTATGATTGTGGTAGGAAGCTATTTACACAATCACACAAAAGAACTAAAACATGACAATTGGAAAGTTCTCATCATTTATATCATTAAATGTTTTGCCTGCATCTTAGTGCTGGGTGCTGAACAACTGAGTTCTGAGGTACTTCCTGAGATTACTTCCTTTAAGAATTTTTTCTTTCTAAACTACTGAAAGCATCCTTAGTCAAAGCAATTAAGCAAAATAAGCAGTGCTGTTAAAAATGTATTTTAAGTTCTCTTCTTCCTTTTATTTTGTCTTTCTTTACTCCAAAAAAAACCCTAAATATTAAATTGATAATAACTGCTGATAATACTTGTAATACTTAAATGAAAGTAGATGCATGTTTAACTAGTATTAATTTATACATGCAAAATTAAAAGGAATTCAGAAACTAAATTTACAGATTGTTGATTCAGCTGTATTGTAAACATTGTAAATGTATGTGTCAACATGGAAGTTACTCCCTACTATGTTACACAATATGAATACTGCTGAACTCCTTCTGCTGAGGGAAGGTGTTAGCTGCAGGGATTGTGATAATAAGATTGTGTTATTAGCTGGAATTTGGTGCCACTGTATTCACTGAAATCAATGAGTCACTTGCATAAACAGATTTCTATTTGTTCCTTTGGTAAATAAGAATATTTTTCAGTTTGTCTGACCTTGTAGGAAGGTGACCTGCAAAAAGGGTCCACCGTGTGTTACCCTCAAACATTTCATCAGCATACATTGAAAGCTTCCTGTTCACTGTTGGTTGGTTAAGCGTTGTGCTTTTATAACATGCTTCTTACTGCTATATTACAGGTTTTATTATCCTAGAAGGTAAATATTGATCGTGATTATTATTAATTCTCTTTCAAATTAGGAATGGACCCAAAGATGATTTCAGTTAATATTAAAACTCCAATTGATTTTTTTTAGTGGGTAGCATCTGAAGTAGAAATTTTTTTTGGCATACTCAGTTCACCTCATTCAATTTGACTTGCAACTCAATATCTAGTATCTACCACATCATAAAATATATATCTCATTATTTCATTTACTTGCATCATCATGCTCCCTTGTTGACACAATTTTTTAGATAGATACTTTTATGCTCATAATATTTTATTGATGTGACCATAGTGATACTGTGACCATAGTGACCGCAATTTCCTGCCGTTATGAGCTTCATGTAACAATAGAAGAAAACCACAAAAACTGGGCTTTATTGCATTATCTCATTCCAGTCCTTCCATGGGAAGAAGGTCAGATTTTACTGTGTTAAGTTCTGGGCTCCCCAGTTCAAGAAAGACAGGTTTCTACTAGAAGGTGTGCAGCAGAGAGTCACAAAGATGATGAAGGATCTGAAGCATCTCCCTTATGAGGAAAGACTGAGTAACTTGGATCTGTTCAGCCTGGGTAAAAGAGGACTGGGAGCAAATCTGATAAATGTTTATAAATATCTGAAGGGAGGTGGGAAGCAAATGGATGAGGCCAGGCTCTTCTCAGTGGTGCATAGCAGTAGGACAAGGAGTAATGGTCTAAAACTTGAACACAAGAAGTTCCACTCTAGCAGAACTTCTTCACAGTAAGGGTGACAGAGCACTGGAACAGGCTGCCCAGAGAGGTTGTGGAGTCGTCTTCTGTGGAAATACTTAAGACCCATCTGTACATCTATGTGTGAGACCTATTGTAGGGTACCTGCTTTACCAGGGGGTTGAACTCAAGAATCTCTTGAGATCCTTTCCAACCCCTGCAATTAAAAATAAATAAATAAATAAAAATCTTAATTTCAGGGAACAGAAATGTGTCTGCTGCTGATACGGATGATTTGGGTTCAGAATTAACTGGGCTTATGTAATTTATGGGAAATAATAAAAAATATAGATATACCAAGCTATATGGATCAAACTCTGTGTGTCTACGTGCATTGTTTCTTGAAGAGAATTCATGTACAGTAGTTCAGAAGGGTTGTGTTCTGGTTATTGCTGCTTGATACATAGAAAGACATCATTCCAAAAGGCTGTAATATTTGTATTTTCCTAGAGTTTTAAACCCAGTGTTTTCAAGTTAAAGTCATATATTTTTGAGTATTCAAATGTATGAACAAATACCCTTGTAAAAGATCATGAGATGTAAATGCAGTATACCTGGAAACAGGCTTCTCTTATTTTGGCATCTAAATACGTATAGGCAGATAGACAGAGGACTACGCTGTGGCTGTTACTTTGAAAACACTGTTTTCATATAAAGATATAACATGCTTTTTGAATTTACTAATCTGGAGTTACTAATGTGATGATGTATATAATATTGTGATGATGTACAGGGCAGCACCATTTTTAAATTGTATTTATTCAATATTCATGATAATCTTGAAATTCTTTATTACAGGGAGCAAATATTGATAGTGTTGACACAGAAGGTCGATCTCCACTTCTGTTGGCCACTTCTTGTGCATCATGGAAAATTGTGAATTTACTGCTCTCAAAAGGTACAAGAGAATGTGCACTTATGATATACATCTTTTGAACAGGATTTGCGTGTGTCAAAAACCTACATCCAAAGTTTCCCTCAATTTTAATTCAGTACTTCAGCATACAGTCCAGGAGTAACTGCATTTAACAGTTGGCTGGAGATAAAGGAAGAATTAGGGAAGTGATTTCACCCTTTTTCACATAGAGCAAGCAGGTTGTAGAAAAGCATTCGGGCTATTTTTCATGTCTCTCAAGGTAGAAGTAGCACTAGCAGTCCATCATAGAATCATAGAATTGCTCAGGTTGGAAAAGACCTTCCAGATCATCAAGTCCAACCTCAACCTGACCATATCCTTTCGTTCCTTAGCGGTTCAAAAAGCAGAACTGTGGAATAAATGCATGACTTACATGGGGTCACTTTTGTACCAGAAATCAGTCTTTAAGTGTTAAAGCCCATATTTCAATTATTACTGTGATTTTAAATAATCACAGTCACATTTAAATTTTTTCAGTTGCTATGCCTTTTGTGCAGGCTATTTACTGTTAGTGTATTTCCTGTTGTAAACAGCAACATAATTGATTTTATTAATAAAACTTCTAATAAAGGTTTTAAAGTTATAACAAGGTTAAAGTCTTTAAGGCTTTTTTTTTTTTTCATCCAAAACTGGCAAAAAATCCCATTTCCTGATGCTTGCTTTATATAATGCTTTTGTGGATTACTCAAATAGTTTTGCCAGATAAAGTTATTGCGACTTTTGAAATAGTAAATCATTGTTGAGTCTGTTTAATTACAACGAGAATTGACTGTAAACCAAACACTAGAAGAAGTAATCATCTGCATCTTTAAATTGCTTCTTGTTCTGCAGATTCTCAGTATATCTGAATATAAGTGCCCCACATAAATCTTAATGCTGCGAGGAAATACTACGTGCTTATGCACAATGACATGTAAACATGAGTAGTTGGGTTGTGTTGAGATGTTTGGTTCTTTTTGCAAGTGAAGTGATATCTCACGATGTTAACTTGAAATAATGTTTGTTATTTTATAGATTTATTTTCAACATTTGTTTCTTTGTGTTAAGCATCATCAGTTAGTGCCAGGGGCCAGCAGTTTTGAAGTTGCTGGTATTTATTTCCATATTTATCTAGGAGCAAATGTATCGTTAAAAGATCATCTTGGTCGGAATTTCTTGCACTTGACGGTATTACAGCCTGGAGGATTACAACATCTGAATGAGAAATTTCTGCAGGTACAGTAAGCATTGATTTATATCTTTCAGTAACTTCACTAGGAAATGTAAAGAAGAAAACGGCTGCTATTTTGTTTTCAAATGTTAGTTTCTGGTGTTTGTTAAGTTGCCAAGTGTCACAGAAAATAGTATGAACAGGTACGTATCTCTCATGGAAAATATTTCAAAGCCAATAATACAGTTTTCTTATTGCCAGGCAAAGGAATAACATAATCCCATAAATTATTTTGCTGTTGGGGGATTGAATAGCTCAAGAGGTAGGCAATGAAATACAGAACTTTTCATTTCTGCTTTCCCAGTGTGCATGCAGTGAAACTAGGGGGCATACTCATATTCAGTCAAGCTCTAGGACTTAAACAGCTTACAGAATATTCTTCAGGAGTTTTCTGTGGACTGCTGGACTGTAGTGAAGTCTTGGATTTAATTCTAAGAAGAATTTCAATTATTAATTTGGCTATGTTGAGGTGAACTCATATTGCTAGAACCCAAGCTTGCTTGAAAGAGTTAAATTTGCTAACCTCCAGAGCTACAATCTTTTGTATGTGATTCATGACTAGCAGGTCTTATGACGTCTGTGGGACTTTGTAAACAACTTTGATTGCTGTTGGAAGTAGATACAGCTTCCCTTTTCAGCAGATGTAGAGAATCAGCCTTAAAATAGAGTGATAACTCTGGTTTGTCTACATTGAATTTCTAATTATTGATCATAATAATAAATCAAAGAGCAGAGCAGACTATGAGAGGAGATTCTTAGTTGCGTTAAGAGGGAATATGTACAGGATAGTGTTAGCGTATGGAATAAAACAGGGAAATAAGAGAGAAATCAGAGTAAAAAAATCATATTGTAGAACAGTGAACTGATGATTCCAGACAGCCAGAAGTTTTGCTTCTGAATACAGACTATGTATAGACTACCCTTGCTTCTGTACAAGCTGCCTCCTGACAGCAATGAGTATTATGGTCGAATGGCAGCAAATAAAAATCTCCTGTATGATGTTTGTTCTGTGCGCAGTAAGGCACAGATTGACAAGTTGCTGTGTTCTCTGATGACTGATTCTGCTTAAAGATGATCGCCCACTAATCAACAGATATTAAATGTTAATTGTTACTACATTCATCTTTTCTATATCTGTTTCTTGTTTTTAGATACTGCTTTAAAAATATTAATGCCATTGTTTGAAACTGTGAGAAGCTGTGGAACATCAGTGATATGATTCTGTGCTTTTTGTTTTGTTTTGTTTTTTTTTCTGGGGGTAACAGATGGAACATATTAAAAATCTCGTGGTGGATGAAGATAACGAAGGATGCACTCCACTGCATTATGCATGCAGACAAGGTGTGGCCCTCTCTGTAAATAATTTACTCAGCCTCAATGTTTCCATTTATTCGAAGAGCAGAGACAAGAAGTCACCATTACACTTTGCTGCCAGGTTAGTTTAGTTTAGGCAGTGGAATCAGTGCCATTTACCATCAGTATTTCTTTGACATTAATTTCTATGTTTGTCTTTCAAAGCTATGGCCGCATCAATACATGCCAACGACTTATAAGGGATATGAAAGACACAAGGCTTTTAAATGAAGGTGATAAGAAGGGAATGACTCCTCTTCATTTGGCAGCCCAGAATGGTCATGAGAAGGTCGTTCAGTTTCTTCTGAAAAGAGGGGCCCTTTTTCTATGGTATGTGTTCAGGCTTCCATTCATTAAGGTAAAAAAGAACTATCACCTTACATTTTTGTGTCCATCGGCTAGGAAACTAATACAATACAAATGAAAATACAATATATATAAATAAATAGTTTCTGCATGTAATAAATAATATTTACAAATATAAACACACATATGTAGAAATACACTTATATACAATAGTTGTAAAACTAAGGTGCTTGTACCTCCCCCGCCTTACACTTAGAATCACAGCCAGCTGTTTGCCAGAGGTTTTAGTGCTGACAAAACTGAGGTTTCTCTAAATCCAGCTGAGGAAGCCTATGAAGGCAGGCTGAGGGAGCTGGGCTTGTTCAGCTGGGAGAAAAGAAGGCTGTGGGGTGACCTCATTGCAGCCTTTCAGTACCAAAAGGGAGCCTACAAACAGGAGGGAATCAACTCTTTGAAAGGGTAGATAACTGCAGGACAAGGGGAAATGGTTTTAAGTTGAAGGAGGGAAGATTTAGGTTGGATGTTAAGGGGAAGTTCCTTACAGAGAGAGTGGTGAAGTGCTGGAACAGGCTGCCCAGAGAGGTTATGGATGCCCCATCCCTGGAGGTGCTCACGGCCAGATTGGATGGGGCCCAGGGCAGCCTGGTCTAGTACTAAATGTGGAGGTTAGTGGCCCTGTGTGTGGCACTCGGGTTGGGTCGGGTTGGGGATTCATAATCCTTGAGGTCCCTTCCAACCCTGGCCATTCTGTGATTCTGTGATTGCAAGTATTTGCGTATACAACTTTGTACATATTTAGGCTTAATTTAGAATTAAGAATGACATATTTTGTTAAGATGAGCTAGTAAGTTCTCTGTGATAAAAGGCTTTATGAATTGTTTTATACTAAGCTGAATTAATACTAATTGAAATAGATTTGTGTGCTTGCAAGGTTTTGTATGTTCACTGTCTTTAAAAGCAAGATTCGTATGGCCATCCTATATGTCATGTCTGTTGAGTCATTTTCTAAGAAAAATTTTTAAAAAGGGCACAATGCATGCATGCATATAAAAAGAGTCAAACGTGCATACTTCTATTGACTTGAACATTTTACAGCAAATTGATGCATTGATAATCATGTAGCTGTTGACAGAAGGCAGGTGAAAATGTACAGTAGCTGTGAGTCAAAGGACAAGACAATTAAATTTATTTGAAGAGAATGAAGGACTTTTGCATTTATAATGACTGTTTTTATATCTTCTATATGTAAGTGACTATAAAGGCTGGACAGCCCTGCATCATGCTGCCTTCGGAGGATACACTCGCACAATGCAGATAATATTGGATACTAATGTGAAGTGTACTGACAAAGTGGATGAAGAAGGGGTATGTGTTCACATAATATAATTTGTTTGTCATCTCCTGTTACTTATAAAGCATATGTTGGAGATATACAATTAGTACATTTTATTACACTATTACATATATTCTATATAAAGTCAGTATATATTTCATCACTGTTTATCATGTAGAGTAGCTTATTATTAATGAAGCTATTATTTAGTTCTTAATTGTAAGAAACAATGAAAAGGAAGGTATAAATACACTAACAGAATAGATAAAATACCAAATATGTTGGACTTGTCCCTCTTGCTCCCTTTACGGTGCAGCAGTACTTCCATTATATAGTGAAAGCATTGGTAATTCAATTTGAAGAACTCATACAGATTAAAAGAAATGGAACATCAAATCAAACTCATTAACGTACTGTTTGAAATTTACCTATACTGCACACTAATATTGAACAGAAACCATCATGTTTACTTATCTGTCCCCCACTGTTTGTTAGCTACAAAAATTAAAGCTATCACTGTATTGGTCTTTCCTACATACGGCTGAGTTTCCTCTGTTAATGTAATGCTGTTGTGACTGTAATCCTAGAATAAAGAACTTGCCTGTATCAGAATCTCTATGATTATATTCTACTGTTTAATTTAGTCATTAAAGGTATTCAGGACTGGTAACTAAGAGTATTATGCGGCTTTTCAGCATGGGAAAGGACAGAAATATGTACTTTTTTAAAAAATGTGTTTTACTGTTGCATTGCTGTCCTACTTTTTTTCACAGAACACAGCTTTGCACCTAGCTGCAAAAGAAGGGCATGCAAAAGCAGTAAGGTTGCTTCTTGACTACGGTGCAAAAATTCTGTTGAACAAAGCGGTAGCTTCTTTTTTCCATGAAGCAATACACAACAGGAGGAAAGATGTAGTGTCAGCTGTCATTTTGCATAAAAGGTAAGACACACAGAAAATGCTTTTTAAATTTATTTTTCCTTTTCTATTGATTTTGGTTTTGCTTAAAGTGAGATTAAGTTTTGGAAACCTTCTGTTTAATGAGTTCTTATTTTGAAATTTCAGATATTGCCTTATACTCTAGTGAGAGTCAATAAATCTTGTTATGTTACTTGGGGTGTTTTTTTCATATTAGATTGAGTATTCCGATTCTGGGAAAGGAAAACAACCAAACAAAAAAGCATATGTAGGCACCACGTGAATTAAGTAATCCTTCCCGTCTTTTCCCTCTTCATACATTTACAGTATAGCCCTTTCACATAATGTTCAATACCTACAGACTTTTAATCAAAAGATAAGCTCAATACCATTCAAGAGAACTAATTCAAAATTGTTGTTTCAAATGTGTTACAAATATTTTAAAATGTGGCAGTTCAACTACATGAATATAATCAAGCTCTATTTCAAGACCAAAACATTTCACTGTTGACTGATGAGCACATCTTTCGGTAAGTGCTGAGGGAACACTGCCAGTATTTTGCAGTACTTACTAGTATTAATCTCATCTTGCATTCCAAGATTCCAGCTTTAGTTGAAGTTCCATATGGAGTACGAAGAAGGACACCTATTCTTGAGAAGGTCTTAACATAGTTGACACATTTGTTTAATTAATAACAGAATTAAATATGGATCATTCTCAAGCATCTAGAGTGCTACTTAGTTACAGCTGATTTTCTACTTGGTGATATGTAAACTTATTATGTACTGTAATTTGCAAGATAATATCTAAAATAAAACTCAAATAATCCCAAACAAATTTAATGTTGCCCAAGGAGGTTGTGGATGCCCCATCCCTGGAGGCATTCAAGGCCAGGCTGGATGTGGCTCTGGGCAGCCTGGTCTGGTGGTTGGTGACCCTGCACATAGCAGGGGCTTTGAAACTAGATGATCATTGTGGTCCTATTCAACCCAGGCCATTCTATGGTGATTCTAATTTAAAAAAGAAGCGACTAATTCCTCTTCAATAATTTCAACTTATTTTTGCAGATGGGAAGAAGCTGTTCTGACGTTCTCTCACTATTCTAGTGCCAATAAATGTCCTTTGCTGGAAATGATTGAGTATCTTCCTGATTCATTTAAAGTAAGTTTACTGCTCATTTTAAAGACACAGCTGCACAAAAAAACTCAAGCTTAGTTACATTGCATCAATCACCATTGTTTTTCTAATGCTATCCTAAATAACATGGATTATTATAAAAATAAAAAAAAAACCCATAAGTTAATTTAGCTGTGCTGTAGCGATAGTTTCAGGCCTTTCTAGTCTCTTGAATTTCTTTAGAAATAAAGATCTTGGCTTCCTGAGCAAAATGAAGTGATGAAAGCAGACTCACTGTGTATTATATTTTAAAGGATTATAAAAATGATGAAAGTTAGAGGAGAATTAGATTCAAAGCTATTTGAGGTAATTTCACCTTCTGAGTTAACTCTTAAATCAAGCTAGAGAAAAGTTTTTATTTTTTTCTTAAAATTGCTTGTTATGTATATATACAAAAATGTTTTCCATTTTATACCTTTAAACTAACATACAGCCTTGTGAACTGCATAATTTTGTAATTTAACTCCTATATGTAAACTTTGGAATTTTGTGTATGTATAACATACACCATAAAACCTGAATCATCTCTTCTGTTAGAGGACTGCTGTGTTTGAATGCCTTTTTCTTCATGCACAAACTTTCTGTTCTTATTGATGAATGTTATCTGTATCACCTTTGTTCACATTTTTTGTTCATTCTTCAAAGCTCGTTTTGGACAACTGCATAATTGAGTCTTCAGAGGAAAAAACAAGTCGAGACTTCTATGTAAGTAGATGAAGAAATGTATAAAGGCAGTACATTTTACGATCTTGAAGTCAAATACATCATAATGTCCCTGGCAATGTATTAGTAACTGAACGTTATCTGGATAAACATTAAGTTAGAAAACCATCAACCTGACTTTTAACCACTAGTACTGGATTTAAATTTAAAACCTCTTCACTATTTTCTGTCGGTGCACAAGCATCCTGGTATAAATTGAAATTGCTTTAACTTTAGTCATGAGTAATTCAGTAGTTACTCTCCAATAACTGCGCATTTAAAATATATTCACAAAAAAAAACACCAAACACCTTAGTTCTTGGAAGACCTTAATGTCACTTCATCAGATTCTAGCAGTCTTCAAACATTTGTCTGTGTTGTTCTCTTTACTGCTTGATGCTGAAAGAAATAGGTATGTATACTTGAAAACTTGGGAAGAAAGCAGTATATATATTTTAATGTTTGTAAACTTGGTATGATATGTTACTGACATGGCATGTCTATAGATAAATATCAGATGTTACTAGAAAAGGTAAGTGACTGATCTTTGGGCTGTAAATGTCTTTGAAGTCTAGTTTCTGTAATCTTCATGCTTAGATATTTTAGCAAGTATTACAAACCTGAGCAGTCTATCAGCTTTCATCTTGTTGTGTAGTTTGTTGTAATCAAACTGAGTATTGCAGGTGGACTATGGATATGCCAAAGTAACAGAGACAGACAATAGTGCATATAAAATACATGTTTATCAAAAGAGGTACAACTGTTATAAATAATTCAGAGTTCAGTGTGAGTTTTTTTTGTAAATTCTTCTCCAAAATCATAAAAAGAAGATTCTGAGAAAGCATGAATGTTCTACAGTTGCATTATCTTTAAAGCCGTAACGAAAATCACCCTATGAATTCCTACACTGGATTGTATGTACATCATTAGCAGAAAATTTGCAAATTTTCTGTTAGTACACATTTTATTTATATTGTATTATCAATGCCATATAACTTCTGAATACAAGCTTTTCTTTGAAATCAACATTAAAGCAAATTCTACTTATGTGAATGATATTTTTAGTATTTTAAGAAGATATGTGTATTTTTTTCTATTGCAATATAAATATTTATACAATTATGTTACAACCACATTCTGTTTCAATGTCGTGTTCACAGGCAGACTGACCAACAATTAGTAAACATCGGTTTTACAAACAATATGATATGATACACTGCTTTTTTTCTCTTGGGATAAGCTTTTTAAAATTCAGCATATTATCTAATCTTTATTGTTCAGATTGAATACAACTTCAGATATCTTCAGTGTCCCCTGACACTTAACAAGAAATTAAAGGAAAGTGAAGATATTTTCTATGAACCGCTTGCCATTTTAAATGTGAGTATTTTATTTTACGTAATTCCATGCTGCCTTGTTTGCAATAAATTCAAGGGTTTGTTATATTTTATCATAACATCTCTTTTCCAAAGACTCTAACTCTGTTACGAAGTATGGGTTAAAGTTCCTATAGTCTATGTAATACATAGCAATTCTTTCAGGACTAGTTTATTTCAGTAACTATCGATGTTTCAAGACAATGTGTTGAAGCAGGCAGGTAGTATGTCAAAGAAAACCATGCTCCAGTCCTTGTAATAATCATGAGCTGGAAGAAAAGGCATTGGAAAAGCTGACAGAATTGACTATTTCCATGTGTTGACTGTGAAAAATTTCTGTGCCTAAAAGAAGCTTTGCTGTTCTAAAACATTGCTGGTTTATTTTCACTTTGTTTTTTTTCTTCCCAGAACCATTACAAAGTGATCTTGCTGATTTAATTTGTTTGCTTTTTTGGGCTTACTGCTGGCAATTAGATTTGGTGTACTTTTTAATAATAAAGAAATTACTTTCTAGTTAAACGTAGCTAGAAAATCGTGGTCATTTCACATCTGTAGTTAGCAAAATGTTTACTCCTAAAAACTTAGATTATTAATCAGTCTTCCAGGTTTGTCTGACCGAGAGAGAACTCGGTAGGCGGAGAAGACAGAGTCATAGCTTTGAATATACAAAAGAGCTTTGCAGTATCTTACACAGGCACTATAGTTTTCATTACATTAGTAATCAAGTTAAGAAGGTTGGCTAGCTTGTTTAGTAAGCATGTTACTTAGCTAGAAGAGACAGATTTAATCCTTGGTACTTTCTTGTTTTGTAGGCCATGGTACGGCACAATCGCATGGAGTTACTTAGTCATCCCGTGTGCAAAGAGTATTTGTTAATGAAGTGGTATGTGTATTTTAATGTATACAAAAAACAATATTACACATCAGGATGAAGATTATTGTACCTTAGCGTTGTTTAGTAAAATATGCATACTACTGTGGCATTAATGACACCAATTTCTTTTGCATACTCAAAAACACTCATAAATGTATACAGAATATGCTAATGTTTATGTAAAATGTAACTTAGAATTTAGTAGTGATTCTTTGATGTGCATGGAAGAAGCAGCCACTGTCTTTGCTTCCACATATTTTCTAAAAAAATATTTAATAGTATAAACTTAAAAAGAAAATAAATGATGCTTTAGAATGTCTGCTACATTTCACACAAAGCTCAGTGAACACTGGTCACAAAATAATGTTTGAAGTAATACTTACAATGAAAACATTATTGGCTATTAAATTTAAATGCATACTCTTCTAAATTTATCAAATGTTGTAACATGGAGCATTTTTTACTTTCAAGGATGGCTTATGGTTTTCGAGCGCATCTAATGAATTTAGGCATTTATTCTCTTGGTTTGATACCATTGACTCTTCTGGTCACCCATATACAGCCAGGAAGACCTTTGAATGGAACAGAAATCTATGAAGCAAGACCATTAGAGTATGAGGTACTCAATTTTCTTACTCTTCACAATACATTTAGAATGGTTATAGGAGGAAGTTATGATTATTTTGAACTGTTTATTATTTATCAACACCAAATAGAATTGAAGTGTTTATTTTTATCTATTCAGCAGTGATGTCTGATGATAAATTGTAATTATGATTTCTTATTTTCAGTGTATTTTTTCAAAATTTTGTGTCTGGTAAATGACTACTTCAGTTTCTTTCATGAAGTGAGCGTTCCTTTAACGCTGAAGAAAAAGGAATAATACATTTAACAATAAAGAGATAGCTAACAGTGAATCTTTCAACTTTTCATATGTTTTTATTTTTCAGACAAAATAATTGTTTGTTTTGTTTTGACATAGAAATAGTTGTCAACTGTTAAGTCTTTTTGCCTATTCAAATACAGCTTTATTTGCTTGTATTTTGTATTACTTTGGAGGAGGTGTCCTTATGGCCTTCTAGTACTTAAAGGGAGTTTATAAGCAGGAGGGAAACTGACTTTTTACAAGATAATAGTAACAATAGGACAGGGGGAAATGGTTTTAAATGTTAAAAGGGGAGGTTTAGATTAGGTATTAGGAGGAAATCTTTACTCAGAAGATGATGAGGCACTGGAACAGTTTGTCCAGAGGAGCTGTGCCGCATCCTTGGAGGTATTTAAGGCCAGGTTGGATGGGGCACTGGGCAGCCTGGTCTAGTTTATGGCAGCTCTGCCTATGGCAAGGAGGGGAGGGGTTGGAACTAGATGATCGTTAAGGTGCCTTTTAACCTAGGCCATTCTATGACTCTTAACTGAAGTTAAAGATGTACACCATAATGTGCCAGATAAGTATTGCAGAAAACTCGCATGTGGGGAATTAGCTTCACAATTTATTTAATAAAGTCAAAATTCACTGTTGTTTTCTGTGCCAGTATAAAGCATCTCACAACAAAGTTCTTTATACTGGTTGTATATAGAGGCATCAAAGGGAACAGCCACATAATGGTGTCAGGACTCCAATTTGTGCACCTTCTGAAGACTTCAGTTGCCATTCCTTATGCTACAGTGCGATAGTTAAGTTATGGACTGCGGAATTTATGCTTATGTAGAAGCAAAACATACTGAAAATGTTGACTACATACGGCAGTTCTGTTCACAACTGTTTAACTGGTTAACAGCAATTGTTTAGCATGGGAATACTCAAACTTTCACATTCAGTTTGAATTACTTAAGCACAATGTAATTGACATGAATTTAACAACAAACATTAGTAAAACAGAATTTTAGCCTGTTAGCTTGCTTCGAATAAACTTAGCACTATCTTAGCATAACGTAATATAAGGCAGGCAGAGCTAAAATAAACATTGTTCATTTAATAATTTCCGATTTGCCTTGTGCTCTGTTTTTTATTTCAGGACTCATACTTCACAAGAGTGTGTATGTGTTTAGTTTTAATTATGAGTTTACTGGGAATTTGCAAAGAAATATTTCAGCTCATTCAGCAGGTAAATATATACAGAAATAGATTCATAACATTAATTACAGTGTGCATGGCACTTTATATGATATTAAAATACATCTGACTTTTTTCTAATTACAAGGGAAATATAACTTAGTCATGCAAACAAGATTAAAAGTGAGAAGAATGTTTAAATAGTGTTATTTAATTCCATCTCTTAATGATGAATGACTTGTAAATCTGTGTCTGTCTCTCTTAAATCCTAGAAATTGAAATATTTGTTGGATTATTCCAATCTATTGGACTGGACAATTTATAGTACAAGCATAATTTTCGTATCTTCTTTATTTATTAACACACCAGCTCATTTGCAGTGGGAATGTGGAGCAATTGCTGTATACTTGTCTTGGATGAACTTCTTGCTTTATCTTCAACGGTAACAATTATTTAATTGCTCTGTGAAAAATACTTTCAGTAGTTCCAGATAGCTTACATACTCTACAGCATAATTGATTGTTAGTCCTATTATTTATTTATTTAAGCTATGGAAGTTTCTAGATTAGGATTTAATGAAGTGTATTTATTTATTTATTTATTACCTGATAAACTGTAAAGTAATTTTTGGTATTTTTCATGTAAAGAATAACAGTGTGTTATGATGAATAGAAAAGAAATAATGAAAAGTATTTTGATGTTAAGTAATTGTGTATTTTTTTAAAGAATGTCTGGAATTTCGGTTAAGAAAAAAAAATCAAACAAAAAGTAATTGACTTCCCCTTCCCCAAATAAATACTGCTACAAAAGAATGATGTGAATCACGGGTGGCAGAAGGAGAACAGACTATAGTTATATAACTTGAGTGAAGATAATTTCTCTTAGCAGTTTATATAGTAAGTAGCATACCTCAGTTGTCTACAGCATAATGCTCTATAAAAGTATCACAATAGATGAAATCATTCTGTGAGTTGACATTAACTCTGTTTATTTGTTGATTAATTTCTAGAGTATTTCTCTGTAGTTGAAATATTTAAGTATAAGGTTTGTCTGTAAAAGCAATGTCATAAAGATATTATCTCCTTATGACACTGCATATGTTTACAAATGTTGTACACATCTGAGATTAGATAACTATTGAATGGGCTTGTCCTCTGTCCTTTGCTGTGTTCTATGGGCAAAGTGATATTGAACCTAAGCAGTAAAAATCAAATTCCCTGAATGCTCAGCCTTCTTTCTTATGGTAGATTAAATGTTATCCTTCCCTGTGTATTATTCATTTGTAGACAGTAGAACGTTAGTTACTGTATGCCTAATTTTTCTGAGTCAGGCCATCTCTTCTCAAAGCATCCTTGGCTATTGACTCTTGACTTCAGTAGAACTGTACCAAATAAAAACAAATTTATTTATATTAAGATTAGGTTTGCTTTACTTTCAGCTTATCTTTTTAGAGGTGCACATAATATTTCAGAGGGAAACCTTGTGAAGGGATTTTTTCACTTGTGCTACTCTTTTAGTATAAAACAGTCAACTGCTCCCTAATCTGGCTCAAAACATAAATTCCTGAGTTCAGGTTTGGGGGAAAAACTAGATTAGTCTTCTTTGTGACAACCTGTGTTCTGAGATTTGGTTGATGTGTAGGCCAGGAATGGGGTGGGCTTGCCAGAGGACAGGCTGTGAAAACACAATGACTTTAAATAGTGCTCTAACTTCAGTATTTATTTTTTCTTATATTTTTTTGTTCACTTATTGCCTAGATTTGAAAATTATGGCATTTACGTTGTGATGTTCTGGGAAATTCTAAGGACTTTGATTCGGATCGCGGTTGTTTTCTTTTTCCTGATATTGGCCTTTGGACTGAGTTTCTTTGTCCTTTTGGGTTCACAGGTTAGTTGAGTATCATTGTTATTTCTTTATCATTCTGGATGTTGCCTTTGAATAAAGAATTTCCAAAATTATTTACAAATTTCATAGTTTTGTGGGTTTTTGTTAATTTGCCTATTTCTTCTTTTTCAGCAAACATACAGCACACCACTGCTTTCTGTAATGAAGACATTTGCAATGATGCTGGGAGACATAAATTATCACGATGCATTCCTTGATCCATTACTGAGCAGTGAATTGCCGTATCCGTTCCTGAGTTACACAGTTCTGATTATATTTACTTTGCTTATTCCAATCCTTCTTATGAACTTGCTAGTAAGTAAACTGCTTCTTAATATACAAAAGTGGTTAAGTGTGTGTGTGTGTGTGTGTATGTATATATTTATATATACACACACACACTTGTACACAGTTTTGACATATAGAGTTACTTTAGTAATGATGTGTAACATTCATTCATAATGTAACAAAAAAATATTTTTAGTGAGATCAAGTTGCCTTTCCCTTAATTGTTGCAGGGTTATCCTATATATCTTCAGGTATGTACAACTAAGTAACTGATGAAATTTGCTGCGCTGCAAGAAGGTCTTCTCTACTTCTTGTGTTTGGCTCTAGAATAGGCAGGAGCATGGCCTTCTTTCTCTGTAAGGAGAAAATAAAAGCTTCTGCATATATGAAGACTGCATAAATATCAGAAGAAACTGTATTTCTTCTTTGCTGAGGCATAGTCCCGCTGGTCTTTGCTACGCTCTGACTTTACATTGACATTAGAAAAAATGTAAGAGCTAGGGATTAGGGATATAGTATGCACGAAGGAATTGTGTTTCCAGATTCAAGTGCAACAAGTTGAACTTTAATTTGTATTCAAATGTAACAATTACAATTGAAAGTACAGATCAGATTATTTAAAAAGAAAGAAAAAAAAACACAATAAAAGTGTTTATTTTATCTTTGATCCTGTGCTGTATTTTTAGATTGGTTTGGCTGTTGGGGACATAGCTGAAGTGCAAAAATATGCTGCCCTCAAAAGGATTGCAATGCAGGTAAGTAGCATACCATGGAAACACAACTGTAGGAATTATCAATGCTAGAAAACCATCCAGATAATTAGCTAATTTATCACCATCACCACAAACTAACAACTTAGCATCTCTGTAAAGAAAAGTTGAACATGGGCATCCTATCCTAACTCTTCTTTTCAGTTATCTGCATTTGTGTACAAGATACTCTGCAATGCCGGGTATAACTAAGGAACTTAGTAATATTTATAAATGTATTTAGATACCTTAATATATATAAAAACTTAGTAGAAGTGAACTAGAAGTATGAGGGCAGTTCTTATGACAATTAATGCTTTCCACCTGTTGAAGAATTTTGTTGCCAAGAGGGAAAGTGGCATCTTGCAACTTCAGATCTTTATTGAGCATGTCACCTTTTGTGTGTTTGACTGTAACAGTCTGCAGTAGGCTTATGCTGGATATCCTTTTTTTTTTTTTCTAATAAATATCTATGTTCAGTATTTCTATAGCATTTCTAACAAATATACATGCTTAGTATTTCTGTAGCAATGTGAGAATAAATGGAAAGTTAGCATCTCCTGAGAAGACGCTCATATAACACACTTGCACTGCTCACAGGAATATTTTCCTTACAGTGATTCCTCCCAGCTCTTAATCTGCACTTGTTCTGTCATAACCTAGGAAAAGGGTATAGCACAGTTAAAGGGAAAGTTCACTCTCATTATTGTTTAGTCTCAAAATCTTTGGCTATGAAAAGTATTCAGGCTTTGAACCTTTCTGTAACTCTATACTGCAACCCACAGGGTAATTAAATGTTCCAGTCATTACACAAGAGTTAACTCAGATCTAAAACTATTTTAGCTTTAAGAGTGCATAGCTGTGTGGAATAATCAACTCTATGAAAAACTGCTTTGACCACATGGTGTCTAGTGTCTGGATTGCGTGGATCAAATATTATACCATAGAGTGCTGCGTACATATCCTCTGAGATGTGATGCCTGATGATTTGAATATACTGACATAATGGTTATTTTCATGTCCCTTAAGAGAATATATCTTATTCTAAATAATGTTTAGGTTAATCTTCACACAAACTTAGAGAAGAAGCTGCCGTTTTGGTTCCTAAGTCGAGTGGACCAGGAATCAATCACAGTCTATCCTAACAGACCAAGATATTGTGGATTTATGGTAAGGTTGTGAATAGTTGACTCTAGATTTTGTACTAAAATGTGGTAATATTGACTTTGTTTGTACACAGATTGCTTATGTTGCATTAATAAGATGAGATCATTAATTTATAATGATGAGAACATGACTACCTGATCTTAAAGTGACAGATCAGTTTGAGTGCAGCCTAATTTATTCAGCTATAATAGTGCTTTGAATTCTCAGTGATAGGTGATGTTATTAGTCAAGTGAAGTTACAGAAGTTATTCAGACTGAAAATGTAAGTACTCACTTATGTCGTCTTTATCTATTTGTCTACTTTTAATTCCACCTGCTGTTGGTAGACTGAATTTTCTGATTAAGCATATTTGGCAATAGGAATGTTTAGTATTCTAAAATTAACTTTATACCTGAAACTACTTTTAGCATTAAGAATGTGTTGAGGCTGTTACTGTTCACCCAGTTAGGATTATTTATCTGTTTTCAGATTACATTTCTTTATTTCATTTTCATACCATGTTTTATTTAGAGTGTATTCCAGTATTGCTTTGGGTGTGAGGACTCTACCACAGATGCACAGAGCACTGATACAACATTAGAATTGGAAGTTCTGAAGCAGAAATACAGGTATACATTGTCTTATTACTGTAGCAGTAAGTAGAGCCCTGTATTACAAAGGTATTGCTGTTTTAAAATAGCATTCTAAAGTTCAATATTTAATCCGCAAAGTAAAATTTAATCTGTTGTCTTTAAATAAACTTCACTGGTATTATAACTTTATATTCTGTAATGTATTTACTTTCAAAAGAAAGTGTTAAAGAAATATGCTTATCCTATGGCAGAGAAAGAAGACGGGCTTGTTTTCCCATTGCAGTGAACTATATTAATAAGGAAAAGGCACACTCATTTCAGAATTAGAGGTTTGTGTATGGAGGTTTTCCAGAGTTATTTTAAACTCACAATTACTGTAATTCCAACTGGTTTGCAGATACATATAATCAATAACTTTGAAGTGGTCAGATGGTAAATCTGCTTCAGATTGTTTCCCCAAAAAATGGATTGCTGTTCTGATTCTCCTCCAGACAAATCATCTGTTTTCTAGAGGCTAGGAAGAAATTCTCTGTACCATGTATACCAATGTATATATGTACCAACCCCTAGGAACACTTTCAGAAAAGCCTTCTGTGAACATGAAGCTAGGAAAATCTTTTTTCTGCCCCAACCCTTTCTATCACTCTCCCACAAAAAAAAGAAAACGTTTTCTAAAATTAGACATTTTTGAATGAAATAACTTGTGGCTATTTCATAACAGAAAGTTGCATTTTTTTCTCTGAAAACTGTTTTACTATATTACCAGTATGTTTTTATTGTCAGCATGCAAAACAGCATCAGTTCCTGCTGCAACTAGAGGCAATCAGCACTGGGTGTACACTCAGTTTGTACTTTTGTTTGTTTTGTTTCAGTTAATGCTAGTTAATTGCTGCACTGTTTTAATGTTTATGGTACTTGTTTGATAACCACATAGAAAGAACTGTATCTAAGGAAGTTCCAAACTGCTTTTCACAGAGAGCCTTTTCAATCACTGCATATCTGTTTTTGTGCTGCAATTTTGCAAGTCTAGACATTCTGAAGAGCAGATTTTCAAAAAAGCCTGCTTCGTAATTTCATGAAGTCCAGTTTCTGGACACATTTACTATTTCTTCCTTTTTTTTTCTTAAAAGATAATGTATTCTGTATGCCTGCTAACTGATGCTCTTTGTATCAATTGTACTTTGGGTAGCAGTTCTTTGGGTAGCACTGGAGGAATTGAAGGCCAGGTTGGATGGGGCCCTGGGCATTCTGATCTAGTGGGTGGCAGCCCTACTCACAGCTGGGGGTTGGAGCTCAATGGTCTTTTAAGGTCCCTTCCAACTTAAGCCATTCTGTGATTCTAAAGAAATCAGTAAGTTAGTCCTGTATGCTGTTGTGAAGTTCACCAGATCACCATGAGTGCTAAATTGTTGTTGCAAATCTGGTCCTTATTCCTCGCCAGGCAGCTTAAGTCAAAACTATGAGGGGAAACGTTTACAATTTTACTTTATTTGAAAGTGAGGTTGTCCTTATGTTAAATATGCAATAAGGTATTTTTTTTCTCAAGAACCAGAAATTTATTCTTTAATCTTGTTTCTTACAAGCTGGAGAAGTAGCACAGTTTAAAAAATTAAATGTACTCCAAATAAAATTCATCATTAGGAGAAGTGTGAAATTGAGGGCTGTCAATATCTGTCCTTTGAAACCAAATGAAAAAGCTTATTGTGTTTTCAAATTTTCTTTTTTTTTCTTCCTTTTAGGCTCAAAGATATATCGACGCTGTTGGAAAAGCAACACGACCTCATTAAACTGATTATACAAAAAATGGAGATAGTGTCAGAGGCTGAGGATGAAGACAGCAATGATTTATTTCAGCACAAGTTTAGGAAAAGGCAGTTAGAACATAGAAATAGTAAATGGGATACAGTGTTAAAAGCTGTTAAATCAAATGTGCCTAACCCAAGCACAGAAAAGAACAGCACCTTCTTGTAGGCTTCTCTGTGATACTGTGTTGTATTAACATTTTGTTTTTCTTTAGGGTCAATTCTCTATGCCTGTGCATAATATCAGTGTGATACAGTATTTATTCAAGAAAACAAGGCCAGATCCAAAAAAGAATGTGGGTGCTCAAAACAGTATTTAAGGAGATTTAAGATGTCTACATCTGAATCTGTGATCCTAAAAGAGGCTGACCAATCAGGAAAGTGCCTAACTCATCAGATGCCAACCTTGCTGTCCTTACAGTTCTTGAGGCTTCTAAGTCAGTTCCTGGACTTGGCCTGATGCTCTTAGTTATCTGCTTAGGAATGTGGGTTTTTTTAATTGTTACTATTATTTTTTAGAATTTTTACAAGTTCAAACTGCAATTCATTAGATGTTTTAGAGAGCCAATAGGCTTTATGTAGACTACAGCAGGAGTAAAAGACTAACTTGACAGATCCTTTGGAAAAATTACTGAGTAAGAACTGCAGGATCAGACCTGAAAGATAACAAAATAAATAAGATTACAAAGATGCAGTGTAAGATAAGAATGATTTCTTTTTCTGGATAACTATATGCAGTTCTCAGAGGGATCATTTGAACTTGCAAATATATTGAACGTGCATATAGCAGTGCTAGAATGACATGCTAAATACTAGTAATTTGCCACCTACTGTTCTTATACTGCTGATGTGATTTTGGCCTTCCTGATATCATAAAAACTGACTTTGTTTCTTTAATCTGCACTCTGGTTTTGTTGCTTGTTTGCTGCATATTCATTGCATTATGTAATATACAGGAATAGACCAAATGCAGAAATAAACATGAATTAAACTGTGTTCAAGTATCTGAGTATATTTGTTTCAAAACCAGTGATAATAAACTAGTTATGTCTGTATATGGTTACAGTGTTCTGTGGTTTACTTTTGAATTCAGATAACTTCTTTAACAGTTTAATATACATTAATTCTCCATGTAAGGAACAGTTATGATTCTAGTTTATTTTAAAGCAAGGCAGCTACCAGAAATCGGTTCATACTGTACAAAAGTTGACCAATCCTCAAGAACAACAGGAAGATGCGCTGCTGATTAGTAAAACTTGAGCCTTACAATTTCTATGGATGGTACTCTTTTCAGTAGGAAAAATTATTTCTCATCCAACTGCCTTATGCCATCTTTAAGACTTTTTATTCTTACACGATAAAATAGTGATAGGGAAAGATTATGACTGTTTTTGCCTGTTACTCCACTTTTACTAAGGTGAACAGCAGCTTGATGTCTAGTGACAGAAAGCCTTTGGAGTGTTTTTTTCACTAGCCAAATTCACTGATATCTCTGAAATCTGTGGCATAAATCCACACCACCTATAACTGGAGATGTTTGCTTCTAAAACTGAAGTTCTGTTCTGGTTTTGCCTACCAAAATCTGAATAGGCATTTGGTACATAATTGATAATTGATCAAATTAATCTTACTCAACGTCTGCCTAAGGTTAGTTACTTTTGCTTTTAGATGGTGAGATGGGGCATGAAAATAGTCTTTGCTGTATGGTGTCCAAAAACGTACTCCTGTGTGCCTCACAGGTTCCATCCTTAATTCCTCCTCTTGACCAGGTTCTGATTGTTGAGACCCTGGTGTGTACCATCACTCTCACTTGTCCACTGGAAAATAACGTGGTGCATAGAAAGTGAAGTGTAACAGCATCTTCTGGACTGCTAGGGGATGAGAGCATGTGCTACAAAGCATCTGTCCTACAGACTGCTCAAGGAGCAGCTGTGGGTTGTGCTTCAGGACTAAAACAGGGAGAGAACCACCAAGCAGACTTAGAATCAAGAAGATAAGAAGGAAGGTAACTCCCGTCTTGCAATTGTATTGTAGCCTCTTATTTACAGAAATAATTTGAGATGAACAACAAGTAGATCTTCTGAGCTACAGTGCATCTGCAGCTTCTTCTGACAGCTGCGGAGCTCTTGGAAAAAATCCAGAGGAGGACCACAAAGATGATCAGAGGGCTGGAGCACCTCCCCTATGAAGAAAGGTTGAGGGAACTGGGCTTGTTTAGCTTGGAGAAAAGAAGACTCCGGGGAAACCTCATTGTGACCTTCCAGTACTTGAAGGTAGTGTATAAACAGGAGGGGGAACAGCTCTTTATGAGGTGGATAGTGATAAGACAAGGGGGAATGGTTTTAAACTGAGATGGGGAGGTTTAGGTTAGATATTAGGAGGAAGTTGTTCACACAGGGTGGTGACACAATGGAACAGGTTGCCCAAGGAGGTTGTTGATGCCCCATCCATGGAAGCATTCAGGGCCAGGCTGGATGTGGCTCTCGGCAGCCTGGTCTGGTGGTTGGTGATCCTGCACATAGCAGGGGGGTTGAAACTTGATAATTGTTGTGGTGCTTTTCAACCCAGGCCATTCTATGATTCTATAAAATATCCAGGTCCTCAGGATAAAGCCAAACTTGAAAAATATTAAGCTAACGCTAGATGGCAGTGAGTGATAAGATTTTTGAATAAGTAAATTGAGCATAAGTACTTAGTTCTAAGTTAAAAGAGTTGACAGCATGGTTACAACAGAAGCAAAGTAGTCGTCATTCACAGTTTTGAGGTTTGAGCCTTTCAAGCCTCTAAGCAGAACTCTGATGTGTTTATACACAGCAGCCTCTCAAGGCAGGGTTTTAGTCTGTTCTGATCTTTCAGCTTACAATTTGAGAAATGTTTTTCTTTTTAATTTTCTCAGGCTTTGCTTCTTTCATTCATTTAGCAGCTGTTAAAGTGGAAAATACGGATAACCGTATCCATCTTTCCCACGTGCATGTCCAAAGCTGACCCTGAAGATACTGCATAGTTTGTCTGCATAGAGGACAATTTGATGTTGGGAGTTAAGGAACTTCCGTATCTCTGAGTGATTTTGTTTTATTTTCTTTACTGTGACAGCCATAGCAGGCTTTCCTCCTGTTGAATAGGTATTGGGATCTACTGATATATTATTTTAGGTGTTTCTCTTGGTTTTAGTATGCACTCTCAGACTGACATGGCCATCAGAATAGTGTGGCAGAGGAATAATCTTTTCCACTGTGGTGATAGTAGGACTATGCAAACCCAGGGCAGTACGAAAGCTCACAGTAGTTGGGGTACATACAGCATCTGTTAATTCAGCCATCCTTGGGTGCCTGGAGAGCAGGGCTCTCTGTCCTGCAGAGAAACAAAATTAGCCCCAAATTAGCATCAGAGTTTAAAAAAGGTGTTTGCTACAGATGCAGATCTATGGCCTGGCCTTTAAGTTTCATGAAGGAGCAGTTCACAGCTGATACAACAGAGAATAGAAAACAGTTTAATCACCTGTATGTTAACAAATGTGTAAACAAATAGCAGTTTTGGTCAATAGATTTTATGTGCAAAAGTGAATGTGTCTGAAGTCTGTGGCTGGTGTTGATGTGCCTCTGATCTTCATCACCCTCTTCCATTTGACGGATATGAATAGTGCTCGATGCTAACAGGTCTGCGGCACATACTTGAACACATGTAACTCATCTTCTACTTCACTGATTTCTTTCAAATTATTTTTCATGATCACCACTTCAGAATCCTAGCAGACTTTCTTAAACACCAGAAGGGTTTCAGTGATTTCACTGTGGCTAACTGAAGAGGAAGTTAAACCAGGCAACGTGCAATCAGTGTTGGAATTGTTAATCCACATGGAAAAGCTGTCTGCTCTTAATGCTGATTAGAGAGGGCTCTGCAGGCACACATAGGTACCATTTCTCTCTCTCATGACTGTATATCAAGTGTTTCTGATAGTGAGGGCAAATAGCGCAGTTCATTTCCTGCTGCTCAGCAGCACTGGCAATGTTTTCTTCTCAAAGAGAATGACAACATGTATCAGGCAATGGCACCATCTGCTTCCACCAAAACCAGTCTGGGGCGTATTTTCAAGAATTCTTGTTGGGAGGATAGGTTTGTACCAAAGGTCACCAACTGGGACAAGAAATCCTTGTTGTTCATGTATGATTTTGCAGTCTGAAACAAATCAGCAGTCCCATGCAATATCAGTGGCAGTCTGGTGGCTGCAGAAACCAGAAGTGCAGAGGCCTGGTTTTGTAATGAATGCATCAGGCCCACACAACACCATGCCCATGTGAATAAAATCTGTTGGAGCAATGAAATCCCTCCGTACAAGAGAACCTGAGAATTCTCTGACAAGAGGATTTAAAATGGATTAGAGAGAGACTGTTTTAGGACAGGAAAACCCAGAAGGTGGGAAACAGCCTCCTTCAAACTGTTCAGAGAGCATACTCATGTCCTTCGTGTGATCTACTGCTACTGGGACAAAGAAAACCACTATCATTCGGGGTTAGACTGTGCAGGGGCCATAAAGATGTTGACATCTTTCTAGTTTAGAAAGGAAAGAACTTGGAAATGCAGCCAAGGCAAAGCCACAATAATCAAGAGAGAAAATGCTGTGGATACTTAAACAAGTAGCTCAGAAGGGGAGAAATATTGTGACGGTAATGCTTGGTTTAATAATCAAGATGAAAGAGGGAAACAATGGAAGTGATGAGAAGTAATGCATTTTGTATGAAGACTGAGAATTCTGCTTTAGAAAGCAGAGCAAAACTTAAAGCTATTCACTTCAGAAATGAATAATAATATTGTTAATATTTATTCACCCATAAAGGTGACTGCAGTGTGAAAAGGAAACTGGGGACTGACAAGTGGGCCAGAAATAAAGGAGAGAAAGTGGGTGCAACACGAACCTTGTGTAATCAAAGAACCAAGTGCCCCAAGAGGCTGCATGCCCAGACTGAGCACCATAGCAGTGCTAAAGGAACATCAAAATCAGCTGCATTCCACCGTGTGAGATTGAGGACGGGGAGAGTTAAGATCACTTAAAGTTTTAAACCATAAAGCACGCTTCTCAGTTCAGTCCTAATGACAATGCCTGGAGCTGGCACTGCCTACTGGAGTGATATAGAAAGGAAGCAAGGAAGCAATGCTGTGATAAATGGGCATCATGGACTGTGGGGTGATTTCTTCTCACTTGAGCCAACTCATTTCCTGCCAATTCAGATTTTAATGTTTCTTGGCATATTATCCCCATATCCATGATAATTATAGTTGTATTAAATGGCTGTAAGTAATCGTGGTAAAAATTATCACTGTAGCTATTACTGCGTCATGGAGAAAAGAGCCTGTACTATGAAGTGTTTGGTCCAGCTCATTTCAGACAGAAGGCAGCATCCATGGATGTGCATGAACAACTGGTGGATTCGCCTCAATGAAGTGAAGGGATTCTCAGTGCAAAGTGTAACTGCTCTCTTCTAGACTGAAATAGTTCGTGAAAAAATGGTGTTGGGCATTTAAGAATGCAAAGAAATTAATTTCCATTAGCACTGATCAGCCTACATGCACAGTTTTTGACACTAGGGCAGTGCTCCCTCAGAAGCATTCCTTGCTTTGACCCCAGCACTGTGTATTGAGCCTCTTTCCCCACTGCACTCATTGCCGGAATGCTGCTTCCAACCATCCTCAGTGCCCACCAGTGCTAAGCTGTGGGAGCAAAGGTGGTAAACATGATTGGGTAGGGCCTTTAAGCATCCCCAAAATTCCAAGAAGTCATCAAAACAATCAGATTCCAAAATCAGAAAAAATAGTCAGAGCTAGATTAATGTTTTCATGTTGGATAGAGTTCTCAGTGAAGGCACTGCTAGCCTTTGTTACCCTGAAAGCAAGGTTTCTGCAGGCAACAATTTAATATGTATGTATTATATTTTGGGTAAAAGTTGGGAAGCCGGGAGATCTTACCATCCAGAACCCCAGTTTGCTCCAATAGGATCTT